ATTGGATCTAAAGGACCGGTTCGCTATTAAAAGATTTAAGGGAATACCCAATATAAGTTATTTAGTGGGTTACGTCATAATTAATTGACAAGAGGAGAAAAAAAACATGATTTGTAGATTTGGGGATTAAAAGTGTTGAAAATAATTTGGGCCTAAAAGTTTTCAAAACCCAAACTTCAAATGCTAAACAAATACTTAGTTTCCAGTTAATACAGCTATGGTCTTTGTTTTTAGCTTTAATTTTATAAATTTTGTAATTACTAAAATTCAAAACTAAATTTTAAAAACTAACAATTTGTCTGTGATGAATTTTTTAATATTAACAACAAAAATTATAAACTAATTTAATAGTATTAAAACTATTTTTATTCTTTTTTTTTTAATAATTATAATGATATCCTACAAAAATTATAGTAATATAGTGCAAAAATAACTAAATTTTTTATTTAAAATTATAAAACTTATAAAAGTTAATACTAAAAACCAAACAATAAGATCTACAATTAAGATCTACAACTATATTAAACAGGGTTTAAGTAAGTTGGTATGCAATTTAAGACTTATCCAGTATAGTAGTTAAAATTTAATAGAGAAAAGATAACAAATAGCTAATAGTTGTAGCAGGTAACAAGTAATAGGTTATGATTGATGGTTAGTGAATAGCAGTTTACAAATAGCGGTCTATAAATAGTGGATAGTTGATGATAGAAAACAAATAAATGATTTGATTGATATAACTATTTAATTATATAATAATTAGTAATTGTTATTTAATGTTAAATAATTAATAAAAATATCTTTAGAAACAATTAAGTATATTTTTTCTTTTTATATTTTTTACTATTAAAATTATTAATTTTATAAAAATTATAGAAAATAAATAAAATAAATTATAATAATGTAATTACATATTCATTTTTATTTTTAATAACAAAAAAATTATATTATTTTTTTAAAATTAATCATTTTATCTGAATAGTAAATTTTATGAATTAAGTTAAAATATTTTTTACGTTCAATTAATATAAAAAATAAAAATATAACCATCATTTAATATTATTAAAGACAAAAAAATAAAGTTAAACTAATTAAATAAGTATTAATTAAAAACATGATAAAACTTAAAAAATTAAAATAAATAAATTTACTAATAAAATTAAAAAAATTTAATTCAAAATTTATATTCACTAATTTTAGACTACTAAATAAAAATTTTTACTAAACACTTTATTTATAATTATTTTAAAATATATAAATTTATAAAATAACTCTCTCTCTTACTTCAGTAAAACACTAAAACTATTAATCGCTAACCTTAACTTGCTGTTCCAAGCTTCCCTCGGTGATTATCATAATCATATTTCTTGCCTCCTCTCCCTATATCTCAGCGAAGCCAACCCCGACACCCGTCATTTTCTTCCCTTCCCACTTAAAAAAAAGAATCGAAAACAGTTCCGAAACTATAAAGAAAAGGAAAAAGAAAGTGAAAGTTTTGGGAACACACATTTGTCGAACAAAAGCAACAGACCTTGGACATGGCTGGGTACAGACCTGAAGATGATTATGATTATTTGTTCAAACTTGTTCTGATCGGTGATTCCGGTGTGGGCAAATCTAACCTGCTCTCAAGGTTCACCAGGAACGAGTTCAATCTGGAGTCCAAGTCTACTATTGGCGTTGAGTTTGCTACCAAGAGTTTGAGTATTGATGGCAAAGTCATCAAGGCTCAGATTTGGGACACTGCTGGCCAAGAAAGGTAAAATCTTTTTCTTTCTCTTTATCCTCTCCATCTGTTATGTTTCTTTGGTAATTTTTCTGAAACTTCATGGGTTATAAGCATAGGGTTTGGAGTAAATGGGTTGGATTTTTATGGAATTTTAAAAATCATGGTTTTGTTATGATATTTGTTTATTGTCAGATCTTCATGGCATGGTTTTGGCTACTTTTGTAATCCTTGGATTATGAGGCAAATAATGAATTGCTTATTTTGGTAATAGGCCTGCAAAAAGATATGATTTGGCAAATTTCTGGAAGCCCTTGTTTTTGTATTCAGAGTTTAATCAAGTTCTGAAGCGTAGCTACTCCATTTGGTGCTACACTGCTACCTTTTTATTCATATTTCTATTAGAATTGTTTATTCGCTAGCAGCAGAATTGTTTAATCCATGAAAATGGGAGAATTCGTGTTTCAATTTTAATTATCTATTATCCAATTGTAGTTCTCTGTAGGTAAACATTCTATTTTTCATTTTCCCTATTATTTTCTTTCAAGCCTCTCCTGTTTCCTGTTAAATAAGTTCTGTGACACATGTTCTCTGCCCTGTACAGAAGTTAGAAATTGGGTTTTGTTAGTTCCTGTTTATAAAACTTAATGAGCAACTACATTTTTCATTGCTGCTGAATTTTGTAATAGTAGCTGAAATAAAACAATTACCGTTAAGTTGTTCTCCATTGATGAGGTGACACAATAGAAGAAGTATTTGAAAGGATTGATGAAAGAAAAAGTTTGTATCAGAAATCAGAAACTTCTATTTGTTGGTAATTCTTTACCTTCTATTCTCCTTGTTGCCAGGCTTCCCAGTATAAACAGAAGTTCTAGAAATGCTTACTTTAAATGAAACTGTGTCAAGTCATTTTCCCTTTCCTTTCTTCACTTATTGACCAACAACATAATCCAAATCACATGCCTTTTCCCACAACTTGCAATGCATATTCCTGCAAACTTGTGTTAGAAATTTCCTATTTAATTTGGTAAGCTAGATCATCAATGAGGTGATGCAGGACACTATAAAGGAATAATATGTTGAAAATTTAGAGAGAAATGGATAGGAGGACAGAGGCTTTAAGAAAAAAGAGATTTAGAGGGAAAAAGAGATGACAACTAGAAGAATTAGGGTAGAGAATCCGAGAAAATATTGGTGGGATTTTCATCCATAAGTATCATTTTGGCCCATTTGGAGCTTCTGTACAATGTTTTTTGATTACAGCTTCTCCAAAGTACTGTATCATGAAATTATGTAGAATTAACTTGGGTCTTTTTAATGTCTGGCAAAAAAAATAATTTTATTAATGAGAGAACAGGAGGTACAAAAACCACAGATACTACCACAAAGTTGCAATCCACATACCAAACACTAACATTAATGGTGAATCGAAACACAAACTATGTACCAAACTAAACACAACCCCCAAAAACTTTCAAACATCCTTCTAGAAAAAACAAAAGCAACAAAGACAGAAGCCTCACAAGTCACTACTGTATAGAAGACTTTCCTTTCCAACACAGGAAGCACATGGCTAAAATTCACAGATCAATCATCCATGACTTTGCAACCCAATTGAAGACAAAACTACCCACTGTTCCTAGGCAGCTATGGAACCCACTACTCCTTATTTTTAACATTAACAGACTCCCACCACTCCTAAAACGTTAAAAATCTTCCATTAAAAGAAACACTCACAACAAAAATTAAAGTGCTAATGCCACTTTTACCAGCAAGCCCAAGCAGCTTGTGAGCTTTCAATTGGTTAAACTCCCGCCAGCTCACCTTATTCCTATGATCATATTTGGGATTGAAAGGAGAAGACCTGCTGCTAACCGGAATCTGCTCCAACATCTTCTTCCTGCCTTACTATTTCTCTTTAATCTTGAGCTCAATGCATACTGAGCCTTAGGTCAATCCAAATTCATCCTAGTAAGAGTCCCAACCCCTTTGGACTTCTCTGGCCCAATCCCACTAACTAAATCCAACCCATTAGTCGCCTCTTTAGCCACAAAAGATGAATCAAAAGAGTCTGCTTGGCCACCACCCACATTAGAATTTTCTTGGATTAGTTTGGAAGTTGAATAAAGTCTCCCTGCAAAAGCCTGGAACTACAGATCTGCTGCTTCAGCTTCTAACCCTCTAGAAGCTGAAATCAGTTTCTAGGAAAACCAGAAGCACTTTCAGAAAATTTGGGTTTGGCTTATTAAGGCCTTCAGCTACCAAAATAGAGAAGTTTTTCTTGAAGTTAGCCAAAATAAATAGTTAAAATTTTCAATCCATAACATAGCATCACTTAAACTTTAAGCATAATATTATGTATAGACTCTTAAAAGTAAAAGCCCAATGGGACCGCTAATGGGACTCTTTGTTTAAATGACATAATTTAATCTAAAACATAATTTAATCCTAATAGAAATTAGACTACTTATGACTTAAATCACATTTTTTTCTCCTCTGCCCTTGAATGACATTGAAACTTCAAATTAACTGCTAAATTATCAAAAGTCAAAGGTAATCCTAAGTAATACCAATAATTCCCATTATTCCTTGACTACACCATGAGGTCAACACAGGATTGAGGATAGAATGTTTAGCAGTCACTCTTGATAATAAATTAAATACCCCTTCTACCAATCAGATCATCCTTCTCTGAAGGCTCTTAGTGCATAATTAACTTAACATTACAGCTATCATTCCTTGTTCTTGCAAATGTCATTAGTGTGTACCTATCCATATTACCCTCTTCATATGGTCACTTGGTAGCTGGCCAAAGAACAATTATAGCCACTTAGTATTATTAATTAGCCTGAATACACAGCAAGCAAATAGTCTAGAGTTTTTAGCAATATTAGTCAACACATGACCAGGAGACTGAAGCACTCGAAATGATGTGGTTTGGAAATAGATTCTTGTAGGCACGTGAGGGGGAAACCAAGCAATTCAGTAAAAGTAAGTATGATTACAGTTTCAAACTCTCTAATCACTCAGTTTCATACTGTGTTGTAAAAAGCAACCTAGGCTCTAGGCGGTGCCATTCTGCCCGCATCAGTCTCTAGGCAGAAATTCAATGTGGTTTGCACCACCCAGATCAATTAAGCATGCCTAGGCACTATCAGGCGTGCTTAATGGCACCTAAAGTGCCGGAGCAAATTTTTTTTATTAATTTTTTAGCCTAATGAAATGATGTTTAATTTATTATAAAAATTATATTAAAAAAACATTAAATGCCAAGTAATTCCCCTAAATTCTGCACTTTAGACATGATAATGAATAGAAAAATGTTTAATTTTTCTATTTATTTTGTAATTTTTAAAATTGTTTTACATTTTTTTCTTATTTTCTTAGAATTATATCAAAAAATTATTATTAGAAAAAAAACTGCTTAGGCAGCCTAGGCATTGCCTTTGCACTCTAGGCTCTAGGCTGTGGGCAACCGCCCGCCATCGCCTAGCGCTTTCTGCAACCTTGGTTTCATATGTGCACATAACGTCACAAAATTCCAATCCTCAATACATTGCATTCAAATTCTGGTCTACATTATTGAAATTTCTTTCTTTCCTCCTTCAGTGGGTCCAGTGAAGACTCTTTCTACCAGTACTTCTCCATTCAATATTTCATTGACATCATCATATTTTTTAATGAAAATATTAACCTTTGATTTTCAGGAAGCTACAAAATTAATATGATTAATAAAAGCCATTATACCAAAAATACTTGTTCGTCATCTAAATCATCATGTAGGAAGCACTCTGTAATATCATTCTCGCATTTATTAGCTTTTCTTAAGTAACACACTTAAACTTTCTGCTGTTCGTATTTTGTTGGAATGCCTATTGCTTTTAATGTTACTTGTCTTCTTTTTAATGTCTTTCAAGTAAGGCAGTAGCACATCTCTTCTATTAATATTTTTTATTCCTTTTTTTATTTCTACTTGGAGAAGTGCAATTAATTGCCTGCTAACTTGTTCCATTTCAAAAATTTGAGAACATGTAAGTTCATGATGCTTTCAGCATGCAGGCTATTTTTTAATTTAGTCAAAGGGAAAATGTTTTCTTTTTTCCTTTTGGAATTTTGGTATGTACTATGTTGGTAAAGCATTCTTTCCTAATCCCTTATGGAACAATCTCCCTTTACCCTTTTAGGTTTAGGGCTGGAGATACTTGCCTACGTAATTGAAATTGAAAGATGAAATGAAATTAAGATCTTTATTTCTAAGTTCCCTTTTATGGGTTTGTAATTGTTTGAAAAGAATATGGTTTTAGTTGATTTTAAAAATACCATATTAGGTTCTTTAACCTATGCCTATGAAACAATTTATTGTATCTTCTTCATCCAGCATGGCTAAAAGTTGTCTTTTATTGAAAAATAATAGTACAAGAGTTTGGACATACTAATACTATTACAACCAAATTGTATTTTTAGCAGGCTTATTTGTGTATGTGGCCATTATAAATATTGCTGATTGGTGTACTTTTCTAACTGCCACTTGCCTTCCTTGAGGTTATGATGATGATCAGTCTTTTCCGTAAACTTTTCATCATTTCAAATGTTTAAAACTTAGTTCCTCTAACCTCTGATTTTACTTCTGGCAACCTGATTGTATTCTGCTCAAATTAGCATGCACGAAGGAATTTTAAAGTGGCTTAAAATAGTTCAGCAAAAAAAAAAAAAAAAAAAAGGTGGCTTAAAAGCTAGTAGTGTGATGTGAAGAATCACTTTTGTTTTTGATATTGAAAAAGGCTACTAAAGTTTTAGAATGTACAATAGATAGTGATGCAGATTTTAGAAACCCATTCTATATTGTTTTCATAGGGTGTTTTGCTGGACTTCCTCCTTAAGGACATCTCTAAAAATATCATATTTTAATTAATTTTTTAAGACCAACTGTTGTTTTCAAAGTTCTAGTTATATAGATCATGCATGTCGATTTTCATATTGATTTAATATATCTAATAGTTTGTTAATTACTCAAAATTTAACACCATTAAATATATGTTAGTAAATATAGTATCTTTGATTAAAGGATTATAAATATTAGATCAATTTGATAACCTTTTCCAAAATTATTTGCTCATAGAGCGAATTAAGTGAATAAGAAAGATGGCTATATATTAGTATTTTATCCTAAACTTATTTTACATACGGTCAAGGTCAATGATGCAAACTTCTAAGGCTTGTTTCTCTAAACTTAGATTACATAAGAAAGAAAAATAAATGTAAAATATGGTGACAATTTCATAGTTTCTCTAATTTTTCCAAACATGAACATTCAATTACAACCTTTTGCTTCTCAACCTTTTTGATGCCTAGCCTTTTCTTTCTCCCACCTCCTATAGTCTGTATGCGTATGTGATTTTTAACATTTTGTTTAACGTGTTGTGAATGTGCAGATTGTCTGCGTTTGAAAGAGCAAAAACTTGTTTATGTAGAGGTTCTACTCTGTTAGGTGTCTATTCCTAAAAATAATGGACTGGAGTTAACCTAAAAATTATTTGTTTCTTCTCTTTGCTTCTAGATTTGCACAGAAGTCCCATCAGATCCTTTTGGCACTATAGAAATCCAAACATCTCCTTAATGCTTTCCTTTGGTATTTCCTTAAAACTCTGTTTCATTCTTTGAGCACAGGACCAAACCAAGTATCTTATAAAGTCAAAAGAGTATCACTCATTGTTTAGTTGTTGTGAATTTAGGTTATGTTTGGTCCCTTTTTGTTCTATTGTTGTGAATTAGGCTAAGTTTGGTACATTGTCTAGCTATAACAAGCTCTCATCCACTTAACACGCACACACACACAAAAAAGAGGTAACAATCATTTCTATTTAGCCATACTCTCCCTCTATTTTAATCTGCTGTCATGTAATAACCATATATTGACATCCAATGAACCAAATATGATCTTAAATCATTAAGTTTTGTGATATATGTCTCAATGCAACATATTTTTATGACAATTAATGTTACTTTTTTCCTTTCCTTTCCAATGCTATATTCTATTCAGACATGGATTAAATTTTCTCCAATAAGGACTGAGACTCATGGTTGTCCTGATCAGAAACAATCGTGTCCCCTATATCACTGGTTTGGAATGTTTGAATGGTCATTGTCTAGACCCAGAGAACTTAAAACCTTTTGCATTAATGTAAATCCAATTTTGGGACACTGTTTGTCTTGATAATGGTATTTAATGAGCTAGCTAACTTTTTGGATCTGATGCTAGGATTAATATAGTTTTTGGTTAAATACATGTTTATGGAGGGCAGTTATTGCTTTCTGTTTCTAGTGCCATCTTGCAGAGAATGCCCTAGCTTAATCCAACTCTCCCATGTTTTCCATTCGTTACTTCTTTTTTCTTGATGATTACTTGTTTCTTATGAATCCTATACTGAATAATGTGCTCATTTATTTCATTGCTGTTAACTTGGCTGTGATTTTATTGATGTCTACTTTTCTTGGCCAATGTATATGTACTACAGTTCTCTGCCAAGATATTTCATTGCAGTTACTAATTTAACCATTGTTGAACTAAAACTTTAAATATTAGGACATGAGGTTCCCAACCTCATTATTTTGTTTCTATATCTTAATCTTGATAGGTATCGAGCAATTACTAGTGCATACTATCGAGGAGCTGTTGGTGCTTTGCTTGTCTATGATGTCACAAGACATGCTACATTTGAGAGTGTTGGGAGGTGGTTGAAGGAATTGCGGGAGCATACAGATCCAAACATTGTGGTCATGCTCATTGGCAACAAGTCAGATCTACGACATCTTGTAGCTGTCTCGGCAGAGGATGGCAAGGCTTTTGCGGAGAGGGAATCCCTGTATTTCATGGAGACTTCCGCATTGGATGCAACCAACGTAGAAAATGCTTTTACTGAGGTTCTTACCCAGATATACCGAATTGTGAGCAAGAGGGCTGTTGAGGCAGGTGGTGATGACGGTGCTCCTTCTGTTCCGTCCAAAGGGGAGACGATTAATGTCAAGGAGGATAACTCCATGTTCAAGAAAATTGGATGTTGCTCAAATTAGGCCTGTTTTTCTAGATTATGGTTTTCTTACTGCATCTTTATTTCTTGTACATGAGCATATCTATCTTAAGAACCGAAACTAGTCTGTTGCTGGAAAATTGACGAAATGACCTCTTATGAAGGATTGTTCCGAACACATACAATTGATAACTAAACATTTATCTTGTATTTTTCATTTTAAAGTTTCAGTTTGTCGAGTCATAGACAAAGGGGTTGTGTTTAATGCTTTCAACCGTTGTCTCTTACTTGGATGGATGTATTGTCAGAAATCTAAAGATTAATACTCTTTGGTTTAACGGTTTGAAAACAACCTGTAAGTAATAGGGTATAGTTTTCTAGCCTGTAAAGAGATTGGTGTATTTTTTAGCATGTAAGAAGGCCCCTTTACTGAATTTTTCCAAGTATTATCAGTGATAAATAAACAATGGAAGAAATTTTATTGAAAGTATTTTGGTAATTTTAGCATGTAAGATTCCACTTTTAGCCTGCACATGATTATTTTCTATGCTTAATATTTTAAAGAATTTTTATGTTTAATATCCTCCCATAATTCAAAAACTATAAAAATAAAAAATAAAAACCCAAAAATTAACATTGGTCACCTACAAGTCGCATGTACATTAAAATCCATCAACCCCTTCAATTATGTGCGGGATATCACTCATGTGGCCATCACGTAGACAAGCAATTGACATGGTGTTTTCTTAAAAATCCTGAAGTGGTTTTGCACAAGATAAATCTGAATGTAAACATATCATTTATTTTTTTTGAAAAGTAAGAAAAAAGAATTTTTCCAACGCCCTTCTCTTTCTATGCCCTTGACTTCTATTAAAATGGCTAGAAGAACATTGATTTAAAATTTACTTTTGTACCTTTACACAATTTGCAAGAGAGAGGAGTGCCTTCTTGCATAATGAGTTATTAATTTGTCTTAAACAGTCCTAAGTACTTCACCAATATAGTGAATTTAAAATTAATAGATTCTAAATATACTAGATGAAATGCAAACTTAAGTAGACTTATTAAAGATTAATGAATCTTAATTAAAACTAACATGTTCAGAATCATATTAACCTATGTCTATAAACAAATTTGCGAATTAAACTATCATAAAACTAAAAATTTAAAACTAATTAACCATAAAATATGTAAGAATAAAGATTAAACTGAGATGGTAAATAAAAGAAGAAAAAAGTGTAAATGCCATATAAATAATCATTTTATGAAAGACATTGTTTACCATAAATTTAAAATAAACAATATTTAGAAAAAGAAATAATACCTTACATAAATTAAAATTGTTGTTGTCCATTACATGAGATGTAGTTGTAGAAGCAAATACATGAGCTAATTTAACTATTTGAATATTGGAAACAATCTAAAATCTACAAAGTACTGTACTGAAGATGAAATCTATAAACTAAAGCAAGCAGTTGCTAACAAAACCTAAGAATGCTAAAACTAGTTCAGAGTTGTGTATAGGGTTGCTTTTGTATTAAATAATCTGAAACTTTCTTTTTATTGGTTTTCTGCGAACTGCCTTCCCACCTCATTTGCTAGCTGTTCATGGATAATTTCTTGAAGAAAACAAACTCATCAGCGGGACTAGGTTAAGGCTGCTTTAGATCTTGCCACCTATAATATTTTATTGTTATCTTAACCCCTCAATTTTTTTTTTTT